CGGGCAGGACCTGGTCACCATTTTGCTTCTGTTTTCCAGTGGGAGGCTGGAAAACCCCTTTCTCCAGGAGCCTGTTCCCATCTCCCCTGGCCCAGCCCTATCTCCAGCACAGCTCTGGTTTGGAGGGGGAGCAAGGGGAACAGCACCCATCTTTATTTCTCTGGCGTGGTTTCTGTGCGTGGCAGAGTGGGGAGCTGTGGTGGAAAGTCAAAAAAAGCCCTGAGCAAGGCTGGAACCTGGGAATTGCCTGGAGGCTTTTCGGGGAGGGAAGGCAGGGCTCCCTGCCAGGCACAGAGGGGACACTTGCCTTTCTTGTGTCCCAGGGCCACGGCCAGATCCATCGGGGTGTAACCAGAATCTGCCTCCGTTGTCAGGTCAGCGCCGCGAGCTGCAAGCAGGCAGTGGAGATCAGGGCACGGCGCTCCCCTGCCGACACGGCGTCCCCTCCGGGTCAGGTACAGGGCGAGGGGACCCCCAAAAGGTGCCCGTCCTGGCTGGGCAGCCCCCCGTGACGCCCCCAGGCTGCTCAGTTTCTCCCCCCAGGCGTGTCACGCTCTCTCCCCGAGGCGGTTACCAACGATTCGAGGCCAAGGACTAAGTGCAGATCTTCCCCGTTACCTAGTAGGGCCTCGACGCACTTGACGTGATTGCCGCGCACGGCGTAGAGCAGAGGAGTGCCGCCGTTCTGCAGGGAAAGGGAAGGGGCTGTGTCATTGCTGGCCTCGCGCGGGGCCGTGCTCACGCAGCTCCTGCTTCTCCCGGAGCGGTAGGTCCCCGACCTGCTGGGATCCCCCTTCCGCCCTCTCCCAGCTCCAGGCTGGGTGTTTTCTCGCAGAGCAGCTCTGCGCAGGTTTTGTTCTCTGTATGCAATACAATAACTTTTAAATTGTGTAATTTTAAAGACAACCTTAAGTTCTGAGTGCTGTTTCCTTGTGGCTGGTAACATCACCAGTGTGAACAACTGAGGAAACCATTTAAAATTATTATCCGGATTAATTTCTCGGAACAACTGCATGAGCAGGCAAACGAGTGCTGTGAGCCTGGGAAGCATCTAGGAGAAAGGCATTGCTGCTAACTCAGCCCAGAACGATGTGAACTTGCTGCTGCTTTTTAAAACAAGCTTTGCGGAGCCCCATCTGGGGTTCGGTGTTGCTCCCAGCACCGGTGCGGTCCCCGCAGCAGCCTGCGCCCGGCGGCACTCACCCAGTCGTAGATGTTGATGTCGACGTTCCTCTCCAGCAGCATGATGACGATGTCGGTGTAGCCACCCGTGCTGGCCAGGGACAGGGCGCTCTCCCGCTCCTTCGCCAGCGCGTGGGGGTCAGCGCCCTGGGGACGGCACAGGCGTTAGCCCCGATGGGCGACGGAGCCCTGCTGAGACCTGGGGCGCTCAGCACAGCCTTGCTGGGTACCCCAGGGGGGCTGATCGTGCAGCCAGGCTCTGGTGGCCTGATGGGGCAGAGACAGCTCACGCGTTCCCCGTGACCCCTCCTTACCAAAGTCCCTACCGGGCGTGTTTTAATCGTCATCAAATGTCTCAGGTGAGGACTTAAAAGCCCTTCTCCAGTGTCAGTAAACTAAGCCTGATGGTTCCTGTTACTCAGCCCTTTTTCCCATCACTACTAACAGTGTTACCGGCCCTGTCTAGATGCCTGTACAGTACCCACCATCTCTTTTGTTACTGATTTACCTAGAAAACTTCCCTGTCCTCCAAGCCCTGCCAGCCATGGACCTCTCCTGGACTTCATTATAGGCTTTATCAATGTATCGCCTCGTTTATTTTGGGTTCTGTTTGTCTCTCTGGTAATGCATTGCAATTTTGCTGCTAATACAGTAACGGAGCCAGAGTGCTTATGTGGCGTGAGTGCTCGCTGATCGTTGGACAAACGTGGATGAGCTTTGGGGAGCAGCTTGATCCAGAGTGCAGGAGGATCTGGTTCCTGCTCACCCCCAGACTGCAAGCCCGGCACTCAAGGACGATGCAGCAATGAGTTCATTAACTGCAACGATACCTCGGCGAGCACATTTGCTGGCAGATTACAGGGCCCAAGTGATAAGGCTGATCTCAAATTACCAATAAGCAGATATTTAATTACAAACAGTTATTGCTAGCTGTGAGATAAGGCTCTTCATGCTCCCGACTTAGCTCCTCACAGCCCAACGGGGAGTAGCATCTGACAGCGTCTGAGCCATTAGCTCTGCAAACGTGTCCTGTTTGGTGCCATGGGAAAGATTGGCTGAGACGGTACCGGGACGGTGCTGGACAATTTGGCAGCCACCAGGATTGGGGATGGGAAGTCTCCTGTTAACAAGGTGCTGCGTGAGCGTGGCCTTACCCATTCCAGCAGGTGACGGACCGTTTCGATCTCTCCGAAGGCTGCAGCCCAGATCAGCGGCGTGAAACCTCTCTCATCAGGTTTATTTACCAAATTCTCGCCTGCACAAACATGGATGAGACATCGTAAACAGGAAGGGTAAAGCCCCCTCTCCTCCTTGTCCCCCCAGTAAACCCAACAAAGGCTGTAAAACTAAGCCAAGGGTTTATCAAAAGGCATGCTATGACCTGGCAGGACTCTGCATGATCTGGGGTAAGAACCCAAAGGAAGAGACGTGTACCTTTCTGAAGGTGCTCTTTCAGCTGGCTGAGCTCTCCTTGGGCAGCAAGCTGGTGGATGGACAACGCTGGGGGATAGAAAGAATTCACCCATCAGGACAAACTTTCCCCCACTCAGCACCCACCGTCTGTAGGTGGGTCCCTGAAAGTCTGGGGCAGTGGTGACTGGACAGACCTTGTCTGAGCCCCAAAAAACCCAATGGGTAACTTAACACCCTTCTGCCATACAGCGGCGGGGACAGCAAGACATGGTCAGTGCTGGGAGGAGCCGCGCTGCAGGGAGCAGCCTGCCCCGGTGGACACTGAACAGCGTGGCAGTGGGAGACGGAGGGAGGCTCCAGCCCCGCTATCCCTCTGGCCCCTCTACACCCCGAACACATCCACGGTCTGGGATGCACAGCCCGCTCTGCCCGGCGGTACTCACTGTCCAGCGTGGCTGGGAGGGCCGAGACCTCGTTGCCTCGCTGCCTGTTCGTCAGCGTGTTCGAGTGCTTCAGGGGGAAGCCTGTTCCAGAGAGAGGAGAGAGTCAGGGCACGGGACGAACTACACTGACTTGAGGCCAAGAACCTCATGAAAGCTCAGGTCTCGTGCACCTTATCTGAAGCTGTTCCTTCCAGTCCCTGGCAAAAACTGAGTCCTGCAAAAAATTATTCCCTTGCAAATAAAGAGCCTGGAGACTGTGGTTTCACCAGCGTGCAGGGACCAACAGCTGAGCAGGGAAGATAAAACAGCCCGAACAGCTGCCCAAGGAGGGGCAGGTTCCATCTGGGGCACTGCAGGAGGCAGGGATCTGGCATTAATGGCATAATTGCAAACGATATAGTGCAGAGGACAGCCTGGGGGATGCACTCGAGTTCATCCTCATATTTCCTACCCTTCAAGAGCTGCACTTGGAAATCTCAATGTCTTTTCAACAAGCGATCTGTAGTTTAATTAGGAAAGTATATGGAAAGAGTTTGCCACCTCCAATTCCACTGCATGGAGCTGCAGCGACCTCTCTGCTGGCACGAGTCATCAGCAAGGTCTGGAGTTGGACTTGGCCTTGCCATGTTATGGGAGGGACCGGCAGCAGTAGAAGACTTTTTTCTAGCTGCCTGTGTGGGATGAGAAATCCAGATGACCTCTGCCATGCCTGTCTCCCACTGGGGCTGCGCCTGAGCATCTGTGAGCACCAGACTCTGCAACACTCACTGTCAAGGACCGAGAGCTCGGTGCTCTTCTGCCTGTCCATCGAGGCAGCCGAGGGCTTCGGGACAGTGTCTGCTCCACCTACAAAACAAGGGCGGCCGTTAGGGACCTCGGTTCCGTTTGTTGGGGAGCAGGCTGGGCTCCACACGCAGCACAACGAGACCCAACCGGCACGGCAAGCACCCCGCGTGCACCCCAACCCCAGGGCGGAGGGCATGTTGATCCCAGTTTACAGGGGGGCAGATGCTGCAGGATCCACGCATGCCCTGTCTCTGCTCCCACCACCCCGTCACCCCCAGCACTCACCGTCCCCGTGGTCCAAGCGTGGCATGTCCTGGTCCAGCCGCAGACACCCCGGGGGGGCACCGCTGTCCCCCGTGTCCCTTGTCGCAGCCAGCTCCTCTGCAGCTGCTGCTCCCTCGGCTCCATTTTCACCCTCTTTCGGGAGCTCCTGGGCATCCCCGTCGTTCGGGGGGGTCTCCACGAGATGAGCAACCGCTTCTTCACCTTCCA